CTCTCGCTCATCCACCCTCTCCAAGGGTGCTGGGCTCTTGGCCCTGCAGGTGCTCTCCCAAAGGTGGAGGCGATGCCTGCGGAGCCGAGGTTTGGCCTCGTGGAGCATCGCAGCGCTGCCCAGGGCTGGGCCTTCATTGCTGCCCTTCGATTGCAGGCTGCACCCAAAATCTACCCCACAGTCCCGCCAGCGAACCGGAGACCTATTCGAGTGCTCTCTTTGTTTGATGGCATAGCAACAGGTGAGGCATGGGAGGAGCAGCGTCCTGATGGCTTGCGGCGCTGGGTGTCGGGGATGAATACTTGCATGGCCTTGGACCGGTCTGAGGGCTTGGTGGGGAGGGAGAGGGGAAGGGCGGGGGGGTCCCCATCAGAAGGGGATGAGGGCGCAGGCTTCCCTTCCTGCTGCACAGGGCTGTGGAGGAGGGAGGGAGGGAGGGAAGGTGTGGGAATGTTGCTCGCAGAGGTTCTTGCTGCACCGAGCATCGTCTTGGGTGGCTGATTTCACTGCGGAGCAAGAGCTGTGGGGGTGCTGGTAACCTGGCCTCTGGCGAAGAAGAGCCTGAGGGGAGCTGGTTTGGCTCAGCTCACTCAGCTCTGGAGTTCTGTTTTCTGGGAGCAAACCTGCCTGGAGGAACGGGTCAGGAAAATAGTTTAGCCATCTAGAAGTCGTGTGTGACTGCACCCACCTAGGACATGCAAGAGCGGCCACATCGAGCTTCTGTGCTGAGGAAGGAGACGGGGAGACGGAAGAGAGCAGCGCAGCCTCAGACCTCTGTCCCTTGGCAGGGTACCTGGTGCTGAAGGACTTGGGCATCCAGGTGGAGAAGTACATCGCCTCGGAGATCTGCGAAGACCCCATTGCCGTGGGCACCATGCGGCACGAGGGCAACATCACCTACGTGCACGACGTCAGGAACATAACCAAGAGAAACGTGAGCACGGCTGCTGCGGGAAGGCGGGGGAACGTGGGGCCTTTCCCTTGGCAGGGTACCTGGTGCTGAAGGACTTGGGCATCCAGGTGGAGAAGTACATCGCCTCGGAGATCTGCGAAGACCCCATTGCCGTGGGCACCATGCGGCACGAGGGCAACATCACCTACGTGCACGACGTCAGGAACATAACCAAGAGAAACGTGAGCACGGCTGCTGCGGGAAGGCGGGGGAACGTGGGGCCTTGATCTAGATCGAGGAGTGGGGTCCCTTCGACCTGGTGATCGGCGGAAGCCCCTGTAACGACCTCTCGCTTGTCAGCCCGGCCAGGAAGGGGCTGTATGGTAAGGCTGCTTTGCCTCGGCACGGCTGGGTGCCCCGGGGTGCTCCCGGGGCGCGGAGC